TTTAGGAGTTGGCTACTTTGATTTTTTGTGTCTCTGTGTGTGTTCTCACATGCAGATGGCTTACGAAGCAGGATTTCAAGTTTGTTTCACAATGTATTACATTGTTTGAGATCTAACAGTCTGTAGAGATTCTTAGTCATCCTGGTCATGGTTGTCCCAAAGGTGCTTTTTCAGGAGGCAACTGGACTTCCTTGTTTTTTCTTCTGAAGATGTTTCGCTTCTCATCCAAGAAGCAGCAGCTGCTNGGTTCTCCAGAGAAATATAGCAGTCTTAAGCACTATCATAGTTGCGTTTGCTTATTTTTTTTAAAGACAAAAATAATAGCATGAGTTAAGCCGGGAATTGTGCTCTGCAGGGCTGCATCATCCTTTCTTTGTTGACTTCGATCACCAAAGAAATCTATGGATCATGAATTTGGCACCTGCTGTCAAGGGAAGATAGTGTGTATCATGTGTCAAATTCTACATGAACGTAATTTTCTGCCCTTCAAATTTGGGCTTTTCTTGTCAAGAACGTTGAGCAGGCAATAGCTTTACTGTAAGCCCGTTTTTTAAAGCAAGAGAAATCCTCTTGCTAAGTCCTCAGTTGGAAGGCAAATTGCATTTGAAATTTTATCCACTCCAAATCCAGTTTGAAATCGGAAGAGCTGGAGGCCTGGTTGCTGGCCCACTTTTAGCATCTGGAGACCAGACTGGTAGGATAAATGGCTGACAATGGCCAGTTTTCCCCACTTGAGGAGATACACTGAACTTGTACGTGAATTATAATTACGTTTGCAATTTTCTTCCTATAAGTGCAAATAGGCAACTCCGTCTCTCTTACTCCAGTGATGCATTGTTTTTTTCCCCTTCCCCTATTGGTTTTTAAACAATGAAAAAAATAGGTGTTTTAGTGCTGAGTGTCGTACAGCAGAAAATAAATAGCGCTTATTTGGCTTGCTTGAAAGCATTGGGGGATTTTTCGGCACGTTGCTGTGGAATTTGTTGAATCTGCTCCCCCCCCCCTGCTTGTTTTCTGTACAGCCGTAATGATTGGTCTGCTCGCAAATATACACAAAATTTACAATGTTCCAGGGATCTCCCTCTTCCAAATGAAACCCTTTATGGATGTTGTGATATTCTGACCCTTTGGAAAAGGGGGAGGTGGAAACATGCTTGCATACAAAGCAAGCAAAACTTTAGCTTGCAAGTTTTTCCAAGTAAGAAAACATCCGCTCGATTCCTATGCTTGCAAAATCGATGCGGTTTCCCAAGGCTGCCTGTGACTTCTAAAATACATAAGAATGAGAAAATGACTGTGAAAAGGAGCTCCAGAGGGATTAATCAGGGCTGCTCGATCGGAGGATTGGGAGGTGGGATGAATTCCTTTCCTCCAATTGGACTTAGTTTCCTTGTTAGAAGAAATATATCCCTGTAACCAGGATTAGTCTAATATTCAGNTGAGCCGGTGAGATTTGAACCGCTGAACTGCAGATAACAGTCAGCTGAAGTGGCCTGCAAGTACTGCACCCTAACCACTGTGCCACCTTGGCTCTAATGATTATTATTTTATATTTTATTTTATTTTATCAAGCATGTATAAGATAACAGATATAAGCATGCAAATGATGTGATAACCATGGCATTATTTGTAACATCATTTGTACAATACATGTAATATCACTGTGGTTGGTATCGGGCATCTCTGCCAGTTTCCGATATTTGAGGGGCTGACACAAAGAAGAGAGGGTCAGCCTATTTTGCAAAGCACTTGAGGGTAGAACAAGAAGCAATGGGTGGAAACTAATCAAGGAGAGAAGCAAGCTATAACTGATGAGAAATTTCCTGACATTTAGAACAATCAATCAGTGGAACAACTTGCCTCCAGAAGTTGTAAATGCCCCAACACTGGACGTTTTTAAGAAAAGATTGGACAACCCTTTGTCTGAAATGGTATAGGGTTTCCTGCCTGAGCAGGGGGTTGGACTAGAAGACCTCCAAGATGCCCTCCAACTCTGTTATTCTGTTAGTATTTTTTTAAATGATAAAGATGGAATCAACATAAGATAGGATGCCTCTTCTCAAATCTGCTGTTTTGAGAAAATGTTTGGATCCAGACCAGATGCTCCTAAGTCTCCATTTGCTAACAAAAATCACAGCAATTTTGTTGAAATGTGAATGCATGAGATGACAAAGCGTGTTGTTGTAGTAGTTATTGCTGCTGGTTTGTTGCCTTTGCTTTTTCTGCATTCTGCAGACACAATGCAGCTAATTCCCAGTAATTATCAAACTACAGGATAATAACATTAACATCATCCAGCAGTAAAGATTTATTACCAGTAATACTCTGTCCATGTGCTAAAAAACGGACCTACCATTGGACATAATGATGTACCAAATATTGCCAATCAAAGGGTAGCAGCTGGCAAAATACGGCGCAAGAACCAGGGAAAACAGCACTTTATCAGCTGACAGCAGATCATACGGTAGGCAGTTTGCTCAATAGAGAGGCACTGTGTAAACATTCACAAAATTCTGGGTAATATGTGAACCCCATTCCTCCCCTATATTGAAATAGCCATAGCAATAGCAATAGCAGTTAGACTTATATACCGCTTCATAGGGCTTTCAGCCCTCTCTAAGCGGTTTACAGAGTCAGCATATCGCCCCCNAAAAAAAAAAAAAAAAAAAAAAAAAAGAAATAAGAAGACGAGAGTTGCAGCAAGAATGGATCCCTTTTCCTAGCCATTCTAGCCTCCCAACTCTTTGGTTGTGAGGGATCCATAACTTCAGAGCACTCTTCCCATCCTGGTCCAGGTGATCCAGGGAACAAAGGTTTAAAATTTAATGAACTATGATTGATCTCAGTTAGAGCATAGCTTGACCTTTCAGGCCTGGACAACGGGTCAGCTTAGTGAGTTGTGCAAATGTTAAATTCCTTGGTGGATTAGCTGATCCTCATTGACGGTGTTACTATAATGCTCTTTTCTTGTAGCGCGCTTCTCTCATATATTCTTTTTTTTTCCTGCTCATTTTTTATTTTATTTTTTTCAACCACGGAAAAGACTGATAATCCACAGAGGAGTACAAGTAAGGTAAACACACATATAGGGACAGCCTTATGTAAACTCACAATTCACCGGCTCGCACTCCGGACATCCAAGCGATGCGGCTGCTGTAAAAGGCCACACCTAAGCAGTTGTGAGCCTACCTGGGGAAACACTGACATGCTAATAGAGTGCAAGAAATGATCCGGACCTATCACAGTGTGGTGGTTTGAATTTTTCCTCTTCTTTTTTCAGTTTCTCTTCTTTTCTTTTTTTTATATATTGAAGGCAACAAGCTATATTTCTTCTTTGATGACGAAAGCATGGTACAATCAAAAGTTTAGGAAGGCATGAATGAGGACTGAATTAGAATGCAACGTATTAGGGACTAAGGGGGGGGGTTTCCTAAAATGTAGACGATAGTGCAACGAAATAATAATAATAAAAAAAGGTCTTGAGTTCACAGAGGCAAAGCTGGCCAATTCATTTTCCAAACAAACCACGGCCTTAAGAATGGAGCGTCATCTCACAGGATGTGCAAATGTAGGACAGCTGACTAGGATGGGTTTTCAGACCTCGCATCCAAGGTGGCCAGTTCATTTCCCAACCCAACCCAACCACTACTACAAGTTCAGCATCAGTCCAGCTACTGGATTTACTCCAAGTATTAGTTTGTCCTCCGTTTCCGACATTTGTAGTTTCTTATCAACACGTGTTAAACTTGCTGTAAACTGCTAGGAAATAAAAATTGCATCCTCCAAAAAAAATAAAGGGATGGGTTTTGCCATGACCTCTTTCGCTTATCCTAACCCCCCCAGTCTCTACCACCTCTCCCCCCCAATGCAAATTGTGCCCAAATTGTTTTTGGATATTTGACAGGGCTCCAATCTGAAAGCTAGAGAGAAGCGGGGGGGGGGGGAGAGGAAAATAAGGGGAGGGACCCATTCCCAACGTTGACAGTGTCTTCAATGGTCTTCCTCATCTCCAACCTCGATTATCCAATTTCAATTGAATGGATGAATCCAGCCATCGGTTTTAGGGGTTGTTTGGTGAAAAAGCTGTAAAAGGACTCTCCCTCCCTGCTTTGAAGCTTTCTGCAAGGATTTGGGGGGGGGGGCTCTCTGGCTTGTATTTATGTTTCCACAGAGTGGGCCTTTGGGCCACATCCCTGTTCTCTCTGCTTCTCTAACCCAGGGCTCTCTGTCTATCCAGCACGAAAACAAAAACCATTTCAGGGTTATGGAGTCCACTCATCATTCAGGGCATCTTTCCATCTCTCGTAAATCTCTAGAAGGGAAGGCTGGAGTACCACTGCTTCTCGGTCAACGCCTTTACGGCTTGGTAAGTGCTGGGTTTTTGTAAACTTGCAAGGGATGGGAGAAGAGGAGGAAGGAGGAGGAGAAGGAGAGCCCCAAAGAGCACAGCGACATTAAGACAGTTCAAACAGAACACAGCATGCTGTGTGTGAAACAGCGGAGAGGCTGTGCAGGAGCAGAGATACAGAAAAAGCACGGGCCATCTCCCTTTCTCCCCAACCATTCACCAAAGACGAGGGGACATCACCCCCCCAAAAGGAAAAATAACATAGAGAAAGCGAGCGGATGATTTTGAAGCCAATCGTGCTGAGTGGACGGGCGGAGATTTTTGGGGGGCAATGCTACCCTTCTGGGTCGGGCATGCCACCAGAAAGCTTGGCCCTCCAAATCCCAAACTTGCAGAGAATGGATCGCTAAAGGAAGGGATTTCATGCAGAGCCTCGGAAACGGCCTTATCCACACCAAGAGGGAGGACGAAAGGTGGTGGCTTTGCTTTTTTTTCGGCGGTGGGGGGAAAAAAAAGCCACGGCAAGGTTGTTTTAAAAAGCCATCGCGCTTCAGCAGGGTTGCTCCAGAGAGGAAGGGCGAGAAAAGAAAAAAACGACCACAGGATGGGATGAGGGAGGGGTGGTGGCGGAGGAGAAATGAGAATCAACTCCATCGGTCCATTCCTTTTATCGCCCATCAGTGCACCATCAGTAGCCGCGCTTCCTTCAGGACACAATAACCGGACGGCACACAGAAGAGCGAAGGTCGTGGACTGCCATGTCCCTGGAGAAAAGGAGTGGATGCGGAGCAGTCAGTTTACAGGATCCAGCCCCCCTCATAGCCTGGAACCGTGCAGCAGGAGCTGCCGTGATCGGCCTGGCTTGGCATCCCACCTCGGGGCCCCACCGTCCAGATTAGGAACAAAACACCCTGCAAGAAAGCTGGTGGTTAGGACTGGCGTCAGAGTTCCTTCTTGAGCATCAGGTGTAACCATGGCTGGCCCCAAAAATGCTGAGGTGTGCTCAGGGGTGTTTAACCCTTGGAAGTCCCCAGAGCTGTAAGATAGAGGGAGGAGCCCCCCTCCCCTCCCCCAAACAGAGAAGGCAGTGGCAGAACAGGTCTGGAGCAAGCCATCTATTCTTTTGGAACTTTGGCCTGCCGCACTTTCTATTATTCTACTATGCATTTTTCTATTGTGGGGAAATGGGGTTGTATGGAGTTAGATGCGATGTAGCCATAACAACATTCTTTCTAGAAAGCCAAGGTCATCCTTTGTCTCTGCACCTNATTGTGTCACAACCCCTGGTATAACCAAATATGGGAGGGATATATCCTAGTCTTTTTTTCAGAGAAACATGGTATAACCTACAGTAGTATGTCTAAACTAGGTTCACACATGCTGAGTTAGAATTTTCATACAGTAATGATTTTCTGAGTAAACTATAGTTAATTGGCTGACATGTCACTCTAAACTGAAACCTCCTTATGGATGGATATGTTAGAATGAGATTTTACATAGGATTAATATCTACCACGTATCCATTGAAATTAATCCAATTTTGCAGAGTCATACAATATACCCAATCGCAATACTAGAGTAGGCCAAAATAGCATTTTGGATCTGATTCCAAAAAGGTGCTTCAGAGTATATTGGGATACAAAGAAAGAGTCTGACCTGTAGTTTCTTAAATCAGACACTGGATTTAAGGATTGTAAACAGATGCTATGTTTGCATCTCCAAATCCTCCAAAGCACCCTTTTACTTTGAAATCTAGAGCATTTCACCATGTTCCCCAGCAATTGAATTCGAATGTAGTGTAGTTCAAGCTAGGTTTGGTTAGTTTGTGATGCAGTCTCTTCTATGAATACGACCAGACAACAACTGAATTTAACTCTGAGTAGATATAATAAGTGGATTATTTAAACTGCACCAAAAGGAACATTTTCCAGGACATACTTTATCCCTATTCTATCAAATTCAGATAGAAAAAGCAGAATCTGGGAAGTTGCTTTTTCTCTAATTCAGAGGAAATATGGCCCCGTTCCAAAACATGCAGGAACAATAAAATGCTTGAAAACCTCTGGAAAAGAAGATAATACATTCTTTTCTGGTTTAAATTCCTAGTTTGAAATCTGTCTGTATCTTGGTTACCGTATTTATTTATACATGGAGCCTTTTATCTTCCTTGAACTATACAGAATCAATCAGAAGAGGGCAGTGCATTCACACTAAATCCAAAACCTTGGCTTCATTTTCTGGCTTGTAGAAAATGTAGACTATTCTCCAGTGAAGTTTCATAAATCAATCCTCAGCTGTTGGATTCTGAAACTGATTGTCTGTCCTCTATTCTATGGCTGAGAGCAATTGAGGTGGGGAGAATGGTATTGGTTGGGATGGAATACATTTTAGATACCACTTACCGGTCGTTTAAACCTGCAGTACTATTTAAAACTATCTCTTCTTTTAATCCTACAAAGGAAAAGAAAGAGTTCTGCTGTGGGAGATCTAATGATGTATTTCCCATATTATGTACAAATCCAGGGTATAGCTGAATCTTGGAACAAGGTGAAATTTTTGAACTTGGATGTCCTTGGGCCAATAGCTCTCTCTCTCAACCCTAGGAATAAAGCAGCAAGGACAAACTGCTTCTGAAATCTTGCCAAAAAAACTGCAGAGACTTGTTGCCAGGATTCAAGACTCAAAGGCATACACAAACACACAACATTCCTATGCAACTTCCTCCTCAGACCTTTCCACATAAAGACTTTTATACAAATTCAAAAGCAGATCTGATTAATAGTGAAAATAACTGACAATTGAGACAATTATTTTTTATTTTGCTTTTTGTAATAACAAATTCTACAGAGCTTGTGGGGAGATTGTTTTGAATTAGAGGAACAAAGAATATAGAATTATAGGATTGGAAGAGAACTTGGAGGTCTAGTCCAATCACCTGCTCAAGCAGGAGGAACTACATTATTCTGGACAAATAGCTGTCCAGTCTCTTCTTGAAACCCTCTAGTGATGGACAGCACCCACAACTGTTGGCAAGCTGTTCCATTGATTAATTCTTTTCACGGTCAAGAAATCTTTTGATGCAACCTAAGATTGCATTAGCTTTTTTGGTAGTTGCTGAACATTGCTGGCTCATACCTAAGTGGTGATCTACTAGGACACCTAGATCTCTCTCATCTTCTCCCTCCTCTACCATCTGAGCTTCAACAGTCTGATTTATATAGAATATTCTGTTGTTGACGTCTGGCAGTCTTATGAAATTTTACAATCCACAAGTGTCTGCTTAATTAATTTTAGTGCCACCAACTAGAAAGTAAGCAGAACTTACTATATCGTCTCAATATCAGTTACTATTCCAGTTCTGAACAACTTTGAGAAAAATGCTTGGTTGCAAAGCATCATAATGTCTTCATCAGCATCAGTGGTGGTATTCAGCCAGTTTGGACCGGTTCAGGCAAACTGGTAGTGGCGACCTGCAGGTGGGCCCGCTCATCTGCCCTGGCGCTATGCTGTCCTATTTAGCCACATTTTTTAAGCTGTGCACATGGGGCAAGATGTGTACATGCGCAGAAGGTGCACATGCCCTCACATTTTCAGTATGCGGCAAACCGGTGGTAAAATTATGTGAAACCCCCCTCTGATCAGCATGTCAATGTCACAACACTCAACACTCAACGGAATTTTTAATTCAGGAAGAATTATGATTTGGTAGCCAGGCAGCTTCATCTTATTACCAATGCTCCAAATAATCCAAACAAATCATACAGCATATATTGGAAAAAGTTGTGGAAGGACAATAGCCATTCATTACATTTCCTTTGGTTGTATGATTTTTATTGTTGATTTAGCAATAGCAACTTGCTTGGAATACTTGTTCACTTACTTTTTGTAAGCTCCTACTGGTCAGCCAGAGGGAGAATGCAGATTGCTTCATTATGTTCTCAACCTTCCAGGAGTGAATAAAGTTGGCAGGTTTGCTTCAAGCTGCTTTTGAGGAATTAAGGAATGGAAATAGTGTTTTATAGACATGCCCTTTATTTTGCCATAGTTATCTCCATAATATGCATTTCTCTAAATGGGATCTGTTAAAATATATGTATAAGTGTGTAATGTATGTTTAATAGTCCTGATAGATTCACTGACATATAAAGTAATCCATTAAATATAACTATTTATCTTAAACAATATAAGTCATAGATAATGTCCAGATCAGGTTTATCCATTTTCTTTTGGTCTTTGTCATCAAACCTTTAAGAGAAGCTTGTGCAGCCCCTATACCCTTCTTCCTGCTAAACAACTGATCAATTGGATCTATAGTACAGAAGAAAACTGCAATCTGCTTTGAGCTCCTTCACCTGTTCCCAGCAATTCTTTGATATGGTGACAAATTTGTGTTGCCTTCCAAATTTCCAAAGTGCTGATGTTCTGACAATTCTGCATTTGGACATCTTTATCTATTCATGCCAATACACTGCTAAAGAGCCAAAACATGCCATTTAGTGAGAGCGCCCTATTGAGTAAAAGCAACTACAGGTAGTCTTTGACTTACGACCACAATTGAGCCCAAAACTTCTGTTTTAAGCGAGACATTTGTTAAGTGAGCGATCTTTTACAACCTTTCTTACCACAGCTGTTAAGTCAGTCATTGCAGTTGATCAGTTAGTAACCTGGTTGTTAGGTGAATCTGGATTCCCTATTGACTTTGCTTGTCAAAAGGTTGCAAAAGGTGATTGCATGACTTTGGGACACAGCAACGGTCAAGTCTGAACCAGTTGCCAAGTGTCTGGATTTTGATCACATGATGCTTCAAAAGTCGTAATTGTCAAAAATGGTCATGTCACTTTTTTCAGTGCCGTTGTAATTTTGAATGGTTACTAAATGAAGTAAGTCAAGGATTACCTGTATAGAATTTAAATATTATTTTATTGCTTGAAATAGCATTGCAGCACAAGAATACACTAAAATGGCTTATAATTGCAATCACCCCTTAACATCACGTGATCAACAAATAATTAATTTCATCTCACTATTGGGTTTATGTTTTTGCCAGGCAAATTCTAGTGAATATCTATATATCTATATTTATATCTATATCTATATCTATCTATTCACTGTAATTTTCCCGGCAAAGAAATAAACCCAGTAGTGAGATGAAATTAATATACATATACGTATACACACACACACAAAAGTTGTGCAGTATAATTTCAGATATATGTCTTACCATGAATGTCCACAAATTCTTACTGTTTTCTTCAAAATTATGACAGTATAATTGCACTCCTTGAGCTGTAGCCAGCCCATGGCTGGATAAAAGCTTATTATAGTACAAACAATATCACAACCCATTAAAAAAGGGAATGGCTTGTGCAATGCTGTTTTCATGCAACCCTCCAGGAATACCACTATAAAACCTATTATAATCAAATTGAATAGGGTATTGACAGCATACCTACTTGATTTTGAAAGATGTCACATAACAACTTTTGAACTTTTTGGGAGAGGCTGATGTACACAGGAAAGTTTTTTAAATGTTCTCATATATTTGAAAAATTAATGCCTATGGTATATAGGCTGTGTAATTTATAAGACACAATCTAGTTACTGAATTAACTCATTTTCTGTTATTGCACAAAATACTAAATCATAAATATTAAATTGGCAAGGTTCACACTATATGCTAACATAAAACAAGAACCAATCTACCTGCTGAAATGTCAAATGAGGTGTGACTTTTGCTGTAGTAAAATTTTATTTGGAAAGGCTC